AGTGAAATGCAGTCGTGGAACAAACTGAAACTCCATTAGTGGAATCAAAGATGTCAACAAACAAGTTCTAGGTGTGTTGCCACCACATTTTGTTGGTAGTTTCACATTACAATGACGTGCTACAATGAGAATTGGAATGAAAATAACATAACTGAAGAAATATTGATCGCTGGAGAAAATCTTTCATTTCATGAAAAATGGGGAGTAGCGATTTTGCAAGCCCTGTGCAGTGTTAGTCAGTAAGTGACTGGCTGCTCCCGTATGGGATTAGAACAATGCCACCTTATCCCATAGTCCAGCCAATAATGCGATTCACATTCATATATAGCCTGTCTATAGCCTGCCTGCACATAAGGACACTATCACAGCGTCCTTATGTGCCGACACCAGTGTTTTAGCTGGCAAAGCGGCTGATGTGCAGTGAAGTCAAGTAAATGACAACATGTACAACCATTGGAGATGTGAGCAGGACAGACGGAACAGTTGATTGAAAAAGTGTGGACTTTATACCAGTTTTTAAATTGTGTTGATCGGCCACGTAAAACCAGAGTTATGATAATGCAATGTTTGGTTTTCTTCCTGAATACTGTCGTTGTTTACTGCGGGGGGGAAAAAATGGTCATAACGGCGTTTTATAAGGAAAACGCTCTCCGCCTGTGAGCAAAGACAAAACCAAAAACACCCCCACCCTTTCCTATTGCTCGGAAAATGTACCATGTCGATCAGTTAATTAAAAGTAGTCTAACATAAATGTAAATGCTGTAATTTTATTATTTTAATAAACCATGTAACTTCAATGGACTAGCGCGACCACAGTGCACACGTCTGCTGTTGCTCACAGTGGTCCAAGTGCCCGCTCAGGGAGTTTGTGTGTTCGCTCAGACACATGAAAAATTAGAGGGAACATTGGTTGTAAAGTATTTTGTCTCGTGTTAATTATATCGTCAGTTATATCGTTATCGCACATTTTCACATGTATATCGTGATAAATATTTTTGGCCATATCGCCCCATTATAGAGGTAAGCAGCACCAAGTTCCTGGGTGTGCAAATCTCAGATCTCTCCTGGTCAAAAAACACTGCGTCACATGTCAGCAAAGCTTAATAACGACTCTACAGCCTCTGCAAAAGTGAGGAGAGCAAGAGCCTCAACCCCAATTATGAGCACCTTCTACAGAGGCACCGCCGAGAGTATCCTCACCAGCTGCATCGTGTGGTATGGCTCCTGCACCATGATTGTGTTGGACACTGCTGTTTAAATAATTGTACAGTCTGTCCCGTTTGTAGCAACTGAAAATAAAATAAATTCATAATTATAATAAAGGTCAATCAAATGGACCAATATGGCAAGGCCATGATGATCCACTTGGTAAAATAAATCCGCTTGGCATCTATCTTGGCCTTAAGACAACAATTCTGATGGCTAAAGATCCAAACGGGACATAAATAAATAAATAAATAAATAAATAAATAAATAAATAAATAAATAACTGTACAGTATTTTATTGTACATAACGCTCCTATTTTATTTTTTATCTTTATATTATTTTAGTGTACACTTAGGGCCTGTATGTATGGTCTTTGACAATAAAGCTGACTTTAACTTGAAAAAACAACCAGCTGTGCACTAGGGCTGGGCCATATTATACCGTTCAAGGTAATACCGGTAAAATGTTGGGCAACGATAAGAAAATAAAATATCGCGACAGAATATGGGTAAAGCGCACATGCGCAGTGCCTTTGTTTTCATACGCACATAGCCGAAAAACCACGGCGGCAACGGAGAATGAGAAGGGAGAAAGCGGATTGTTGAGTGAAACGGATGAACCAGAATTGGTTTTTAAAAATGGTGCAACTTCACTGGTTTGGTGTTTGTCCGTCAGATATACAACAAAGAACATTTATTGTAGAACATACAAGCGGGCCGTCGTCATTGCCGTATTTGTCGGACTAAGGTGCTCGTAAATCTGGGAGTAATCTGGGTCCTAAACTCTGTCCTGTAAGGTCCCAAAGTCAAACGAACACTGCAGCATCACTGAGAGTTAAAAACTGTCCAAATTCTTTCATCTTTAATAAAACGATCAGCATTGCTGCTTTACCAGGTGTAACTATGATGTTTAACTTCCAGGCATCCATGAAAACAAAATTTATTACATTTAACGGAGTTAGAAGTTAACAGGAAGTTACCGGTAGTTAGCTCGCTAGTTTCGCTAGTTACCTCAGCATGATATAACATGTTCTGACTGAGAGATTTCTGAAAAAATTCAAACGTACAGCTCTGCTATCACTTCCAACATAACTGAAGACAGGAAACTAAACAGCAGTGATGTTTGTAGGGTTACTGAAGTTGGGCTAGCTGGTATATAATGATGTGCTACGTCGTCGCTAGCGACACAGCTATGTTAGCATAACATAAACAGTGAAGCTGGAGGACGAACACTAACACTTTTCCACTTATAAAAGTTAACGTTAAGGTTCCTGATGGTTAGAGACAAATGCAATCGCATGGCAGGATGCTGTAAACGGACCAAACTTCAGTCAGGAGAACAACTGAGATAATCCATCCACAATACGAGGTTAGTCATTAATATACTGCAACAACATGGGAATAGAGCAGCTGTGATAGAATACAGCATTAATGAATCAATGGTACAGAAGTGGAGGAAGCAAGAAGAATGAGTTTAATAAAGTTTAATTTATCTGACTGCTTTGTTTCGCTTAATGTGCCTTATAATCCCGTGCACCTTATGGTCCGAAAAATACAATTTTGACTTTTTTTATTTGCCACACTGCAGTTTAATGTAGCAAAGCACCTCTTTTTAACTTCAGTGGATATTATACATGGTTATGCTCAGGATATGTCAGCACATTTCTACTGGAAATGCACTTTGGTTAAGCTTTCAGCAAGGAATTAGCATTTGCACTGTTAAATATTTATATAGCTTTAATGCACATAAAAAAACAGCCGCTTGTTTAAGTGAAAATAAATGGATGGGGGGTTTTTTGCGCTAGTAAAGTTGTGGAGTTGTATTTTGTCTCGCAAAAATTATATCGTCAGTTATATCGTTATCTCAAATTTTCAAATACATAGTGTGACATATTTTTTTGGCCATATCGCCCTGCTCTACTGTGCACACAGTTTCAATAACAGTAACTGAGATACTTTTCTCACCTCCTGTGTTGAAGTCATTGTTTCCTCTGTAGTGGCTGAGCTGAGTCCAAATGGCTGAAACTGTTCCTCTGCTGCTCCACCAGACTCTTCTCCTCCTGTTACTCAGCTGGGAATCAAAAGTATAGATATGTATTTTATCCCTGACAAGAAGAAGCAGAGCAAATAAACATTACTACACTCAGTGACAACAATACCTATGAAGCTTCAAGGTGAAACCCCAGAAGCAAAAAGAAAGTCATCAGCTGCCTACAAGAACTTGAAAAAGCCACTGAGCTCCCTGCATACCACCACCTTTACCCGGTGGATGCTGCACCCTGTATATATGAACTTTCATAGATACACAAAGAAGGAGTCCCACTCAGGCTCATTGGTAGCAGCATAAACTCAGCCACCTACAACATTGTCCAGCACATTACTACCATCCTAGTACCCTTTGTGGGGAACACACCCCACACCCACATAAAAAGCTCCACTGACTTTAACAACAAGGTCCACAAACTTACACTTGATTCAGATCAAACCACAGTGAGGCAGTGGACACTGTTGAAAAAGTGTCCACAAAGCTGCACCGCTTGATGGATTGTCAGAGCATTAAGGCTACCACAGTCAGGATCCTCGCGGAGTGATACGTATTGTGCTTCAACATAATAATACTCTGTTGTGTGTGTAAGGCCCCCAAAATGGCATCTTTTAAGAGACTCTGCTTATGACTCTCATACATTCTTATATAGTTCTATATTGTGTATTTTGTTGTACAGTTATTTTATTTTCAACTTACCATTGAGAAATTAGATCGAATATCCAACCAATTAGTTTCTAGAGCCCTGACTAATCCCCACGGCTAGCAATAAGATGCATATTTTGGTATCGATCCGATAACAAGTAGATATGGGCCAGTATCGCTGATACCGATACTTTCAATAAATAAGGTGGATGTGTCAATGAATTGAAAATAATTTTCATGACCTTAAGTGCTTTTTGTGATGTTTCCTTCTTTATTATTAAATAGTTAAAACCCAAGACATAATTAGTCTTTAATTTAACAAAATTAAATGGTTCGGTTGGGTGTTTTGGGCCTCTAAAACTAATGTTTCAAGGTATGTGGGGTGTGCATGTGCTAGGCCAAATCACCATTTTTTCTATCATAATCTAATAGAGATTTAAATTTTTCATATGAAAACAGTCACACAGCGATAAAAAGAAACAAATAATGACAAGAAGCTGTTGTATTATTAACTGCAATAGCCGGTCGCATG